TGCTCGAAACTGGGTCCAGCGTCCCATGAACATCGTTAACAGAGCACCAGCCGGAACCCCCCAACACACTCTTCGAGTTGTGTATAGTGCACATGACAAAACATACGCACACCATAATCACTACCTTACCCTTTCCCAACCTCGTCAACAAACGAACTACGGGCTGCGCACCCGTGCCCTCACGGTAAGTCGATGAACTTAGGGCCCTCAGGGTAAGTCAATGAACTTAGGGCTATGTGGACCCGTGCCCGACCAGTTTCAAGTGGTGTGGAACCAGGGCCTATGTGAGTGGCTCTCTGTGTTGCAGAAGGAAAATTATGCAAATCCAATCGGTAGTTGGTGTTTGTTCTCCATCATCCCTCTTCCTTCCAATGGGCCTGGCTCCACTACTCTCAACATGCACAAAAGACAAAAAAATATGGCAATGTATCTTTCCATGTTCTAGCGGAGGATTCAGCCTCATTTTGCATTGCACATTTTGAGAGTAGTGGAGCGAGGGCCAGTCTTTCCATTCACTTGCAGCTGGCTTCTTCAGCACTCCTCCTCACTCTCACTATAAAGGTGACAGCGATGCCTCTCGAATACTGGAAAGGCGGGAACAGCGTGAGACAACCCCACTATCAGTGGGTGGCTGGCGCCAAAAAACGTTTTCCCGCCAAAAGACGCGTTGGCGCCATAAACCAATTGCGGGCAGACGTTGACGTCACCGTGCTTGTGTGCACTTTACTGCTCGTATGGCATTTGCAGCCAGTGCTGTGCGCCGAGCACAGCAGCCATGTCGATGGCAACAAGCGAGGTAAAGACTCTGACTGAGGGCATACTCACAGTGGCACTTTACTAAATGTATTTAACTGGAATTACGGCCAGATTTGGACGAATCTTTCCGTAATCCAGTCCAGAGCTCAGTAGAAAAAGTAGAAAAGAGAAAAGAGTCATACCGTAAGGAGTGTGAGCATCACCCTGATAACGGTCAAACTACCCCAACTACGGGTAGCAGGTGTAGAACAGACTACCGTCTTCCCCCGAACACAACGCACCCTCATTTTGGCTGCACCGGACCGGAAAGATAGCTTGTATACACACTCGGTATCAAGGTGCATTGTGTTCGCACGGACCGGGAAGATATCTTGTATACATTCGTGTATACAATGTGTATCAATGCACGGAACCGGAAAGATAGCTTGTATACATTCGTGTATACATTCTGTATCAAGGTGGATTGCGTTTGGCGGGCAAGGCGGTAGGGCGTGCTAAAGAAGCAAAACGTTTATGGCGAAGATCACAAATCGCCGTCTTTCCCCCACATAGAACGCGCACGGCCATTGTTCCTGTATATAGACTGAAAGTTGCCCCAAATACAGCTATAACGACCGTGCGTTCTATTCGGGGGAGGACGCTAGTGCAGACCACGTAGTCAATCTTGTCCCATTTGCCGGACGATTTCTTAATTGCTTTCCTTGGCGTGATCAATCCAATCAGTCTGTGCCATGTCCAGCTGGCAGGTCAAAATCAATCAATCAATCAATCAAATTGATTGATTTTCTTTTAAAAAAAACGCACGCTGGGAGGCTTACAGAAATGCACGGGCAGGAGGGAAGGGGGAAGAGGG